TTCCCCCCCCCCCCTTAGATTGGGGTGCCTTGAGATTTTGCATACTTTTTAGGGGTGCCGTGACTGAAGAACAGCTGCTCTAGAGGATGATGAGAGTAGTCATCCGCAGATGTCCGGATTGAGGAAGGAAGATTCGAGGGATAAAAGTCACTTTGTGGGATCGCCGGGACTTTCTTCATTGTAACGATCCCACATTCTGGTTCCCTGACAGTGACCGCGGCGGATGGCCTGGAGTTCATTGAGAAGTAGAGGTTTCGGGTCTCTTAGGTTCAGTGGCGACATTGAGCTCCTCCTCGGTCCTGTTTCAGATCAGCGTTCTATATTGGGATCGGGGGATATAAACACATAGCAGGTGACACTTTATATATAAAAAAAAAAAATCAATGGCTTGTGCAGATGGCTGCCGGTCCTCGCGTATCTGTCAGTGATCAGCAGGAGTAAAGTGACAACATCAACACATTTCCAGCCCAATCTCCAAATATAGAGAAGCCCAAAATGCTGCCCCAGCACATCTCCCCGTATAAAAGAATCCCCAGACGCTGCCCCACTATTCCTTCACTGGCTCTGCTGCATCTAGAGGTAAGCCGGTCCCTGCGTCTGTGTGACCCCAGAACCATACACAGCACCCCCCTCCGAAGACTGAGCCCCGTGCACAGCCCCCCCCTCCGAAGACGGAGCCCCGTACACAGCTCCCCCCTCGGAAGACTGAGCCCCGTGCACAGCCCCCCCCTCCGAAGACGGAGCCCCGTACACAGCTCCCCCCTCGGAAGACTGAGCCCCGTGCACAGCCCCCCCCTCCGAAGACGGAGCCCCGTACACAGCTCCCCCCTCGGAAGACTGAGCCCCGTGCACAGCCCCCCCCTCCGAAGACGGAGCCCCGTACACAGCTCCCCCCTCGGAAGACTGAGCCCCGTGCACAGCCCCCCCCTCCGAAGACGGAGCCCCGTACACAGCTCCCCCCTCGGAAGACTGAGCCCCGTGCACAGCCCCCCCCTCCGAAGACGGAGCCCCGTACACAGCTCCCCCCTCGGAAGACTGAGCCCCGTGCACAGCCCCCCCCTCCGAAGACGGAGCCCCGTACACAGCTCCCCCCTCGGAAGACTGAGCCCCGTGCACAGCCCCCCCCTCCGAAGACGGAGCCCCGTACACAGCTCCCCCCTCGGAAGACTGAGCCCCGTGCACAGCCCCCCCCTCCGAAGACGGAGCCCCGTACACAGCTCCCCCCTCGGAAGACTGAGCCCCGTGCACAGCCCCCCCCTCCGAAGACGGAGCCCCGTACACAGCTCCCCCCTCGGAAGACTGAGCCCCGTGCACAGCCCCCCCCTCCGAAGACGGAGCCCCGTACACAGCTCCCCCCTCGGAAGACTGAGCCCCGTGCACAGCCCCCCCCTCCGAAGACGGAGCCCCGTACACAGCTCCCCCCTCGGAAGACTGAGCCCCGTGCACAGCCCCCCCCTCCGAAGACGGAGCCCCGTACACAGCTCCCCCCTCGGAAGACTGAGCCCCGTGCACAGCCCCCCCCTCCGAAGACGGAGCCCCGTACACAGCTCCCCCCTCGGAAGACTGAGCCCCGTGCACAGCCCCCCCCTCCGAAGACGGAGCCCCGTACACAGCTCCCCCCTCGGAAGACTGAGCCCCGTGCACAGCCCCCCCCTCCGAAGACGGAGCCCCGTACACAGCTCCCCCCTCGGAAGACTGAGCCCCGTGCACAGCCCCCCCCTCCGAAGACGGAGCCCCGTACACAGCTCCCCCCTCGGAAGACTGAGCCCCGTGCACAGCCCCCCCCTCCGAAGACGGAGCCCCGTACACAGCTCCCCCCTCGGAAGACTGAGCCCCGTGCACAGCCCCCCCCTCCGAAGACGGAGCCCCGTACACAGCTCCCCCCTCGGAAGACTGAGCCCCGTGCACAGCCCCCCCCTCCGAAGACGGAGCCCCGTACACAGCTCCCCCCTCGGAAGACTGAGCCCCGTGCACAGCCCCCCCCTCCGAAGACGGAGCCCCGTACACAGCTCCCCCCTCGGAAGACTGAGCCCCGTGCACAGCCCCCCCCTCCGAAGACGGAGCCCCGTACACAGCTCCCCCCTCGGAAGACTGAGCCCCGTGCACAGCCCCCCCCTCCGAAGACGGAGCCCCGTACACAGCTCCCCCCTCGGAAGACTGAGCCCCGTGCACAGCCCCCCCCTCCGAAGACGGAGCCCCGTACACAGCTCCCCCCTCGGAAGACTGAGCCCCGTGCACAGCCCCCCCCTCCGAAGACGGAGCCCCGTACACAGCTCCCCCCTCGGAAGACTGAGCCCCGTGCACAGCCCCCCCCTCCGAAGACGGAGCCCCGTACACAGCTCCCCCCTCGGAAGACTGAGCCCCGTGCACAGCCCCCCCCTCCGAAGACGGAGCCCCGTACACAGCTCCCCCCTCGGAAGACTGAGCCCCGTGCACAGCCCCCCCCTCCGAAGACGGAGCCCCGTACACAGCTCCCCCCTCGGAAGACTGAGCCCCGTGCACAGCCCCCCCCTCCGAAGACGGAGCCCCGTACACAGCTCCCCCCTCGGAAGACTGAGCCCCGTGCACAGCCCCCCCCTCCGAAGACGGAGCCCCGTACACAGCTCCCCCCTCGGAAGACTGAGCCCCGTGCACAGCCCCCCCCTCCGAAGACGGAGCCCCGTACACAGCTCCCCCCTCGGAAGACTGAGCCCCGTGCACAGCCCCCCCCTCCGAAGACTGAGCCCCGTACACAGCACCCCCCTCCAAAGAAAGAGTAGTTGATGCCTGGAACAGACTTCCAGCAGAGGAAGGGAGTCATACACATTGATCATAGATATCATAAAAACAATACAAATCATTTTAATGCTGCAATTTTTTTTCCCATAGCTGATATCCTCTGAATATAATTTTTCCATCTTAGAAGGATACAAGGTTGGTACATTGCCTCTATAAACTTTACCACATGCTAATTTCTGAATAGTGATACATTTCTAACAATTAATAACATCAGAAATGTTTAACGTTTGATTAGAGATTGTGATGACATCGTATCAGTAAAATACCACAATAGCCTAGAGTATAACTATTGCTATGGTACACCGTGCAACTGCTACGGGGCCCCGAGTAGTCTGGCGGCACAATGACTCATTTCTGTAATAACAGCATTTGGGAAATACATTTGTGTACAATTAATGATATAATATGGGAACTCCGTATGCAATTGTTATGAAAGTAATGATTACACTGGTATAGTTGGTGGAATTTCCTTTGAGGTGCAGATTTAAGAGGGGGGG